AGGGGGGGGGCGGTGCCGAAATAAAGTGGTCGGAGCTCTAGACACCCTGTGCAAGGGAATAAATTACGCAACGCTCGCGTCTCCCAAGCAATTGTAGATATATATATATATATATATATATATATGTATGTATGTATGTATGTATGTATGTATGTGTGTGTATGTATGTATGTATGTATATGTATGTGTATATAAATAGACACATAGATGTCGTAATGTACGCAATATTTGCGTCCCCGAACCCACGATCCCTTGTAACTTAATTACATGTTCTTCGCGGCTCCGAAATCATAAACCCTCGTAAAGTACGCGGTGTTCGCGCTTTCGAGGCCACAATCCTTCATAAAAGGCCCCCAAGACAGTACAAGAGGCCTCCGTGAAGGCCCAAGAGTGCTCCAAGGCGCCCAAGATGGTCCCAAGACGGCCCAAGAGGCACCGAAGAGGCCCCCAAGAGCGATCCAAGAGCACCCCAAGGAGCGGCCAAAGGGGCAAACATATGCGATGGCCGTAGCTTTTTGATGGATTTTGGCACGTCCGCCTTTTCGGGCTTCCAACGCTCAAAGACGGCCCAAGAGGCCCCCCAAGACCGACCCAAGACGGCCAAAGAGGCTCTCAAGAGCGCCCCAAGACAGTTCAAAAGGACCCCTAGACGGCTCAAGGGACCCCAAGACGGCCCCGAGTGACCCGAGACGGGGGAGCCGAACTCAAGTGGCCCCCGTTCGGAGTTCCGACACTGCTTCACGACGGGCGCCCAAGTCTCACAACATAGCTCTTGCATACTCCATTATCCGAGAGAGGGGGCCGGCGGCAGGGGGCGAAGCCCTTACGGATGAATTGATGTTCCGTTAGTTTTGTAAGGACTTGGGCGTGCTCGCCTTTTCCTCTTCCCGCCGCTCCAAGACGGCCGAAGAGGCCCCCAAGATCGCCCATGAGGCTTCCAAGAAGGCCCCAAACCAGCCCAAAAGGACCCCAAGACAGCCCAAAACGCCTCCAAGACGGCCCAAGAGGTCCCCAAGACGGCTCCAAAAGCGTGCCCAAACGGGGGACCCGAACGGACACTTCGAGCCCTCAGCCAAGAGAGGCTCCCAGGAGGCCCCAAGAGGGTCCCAAGAGGCCCCAAGAGGCCCACCAGAGGTCCCCAAGCCCTTCAGGGTCGGCGGCACTGGCCAGAGGGCGTTCGCAATACAAGTCTTGGGACTTCAACGCTGCGAATCATCGTGACTGCTGCGTCCTGACAATCCTCAATCGTGCTAGAGCACCATTATTGAGAATCCACCACTTCGAATCAATATGATTGTTGCGTCCAGGCAATCCTAAATCACGCCAGAACACCATTCCAGAAACTTCGACCATGCGAATTCCTGAAACGATTGCAAAATGTTGAAACACATGATCGCGGGGCTAACGCGAAAACCAATCAAAAAAACGCCTTCCCTCCCTGAAACTTTCACAACAGATGTGCGCGGCGCTATGGCGAGAGCCGCATTTTGGAAACGGCCCGCCCTCCATCCTTGAAACTGTTGCAACGTTTAAGGGGAGTGTGCGCGGCGCTGAAGCGAGAGCAACATTTTGAAAACGGGCCGCCCTACATCCCTTGAACTGCTGCAATGCGTTAACGACGAATCTGCGCGGCGCTACAGCGAAAACCACACTTTGAGAACCACCCGCCCTCCCAACCGCGAAACTGTTGCAAGCTTCAGGTCTCAGAGTCACAAACAGTGAGGAAGTCTCAGGCGAAACGCCCGGCCCGCCCTGCCGACCTCTACCGACACATCTCGGGGTGCGACAGGGATGAGTGATGTATAAGGAACAGGGGTGAAGGAGGTAGTGAGAGCGGGTTGGAAAGATACGCGCGGCGCTGCGAGTTTAAAACGAGGACCCAACGCCGCAGGAGCGTTGGGAAAAAACGCGGGATGGAGATAGTCCTGGGGTTCGGGTCGAGAACTCGAGGGCCCACGTGGCGCAAAATTACCGCGCTAGAAGTCTGGAAGCACAGACAGCGAACGACAACACGACGCCCAGAATTCGTCCGATCCTTCCTGCTTGAATCAACTCTCTATGCAGAATTGTGGAACCTCACTTTCGTTCCGCTGCACCGTGCCCGCCTCCCTCAGTCCTCCTCCACCCCGTCTCCTCCCATTCCTCTCGCTGCGTCCATAACATCCCTCACACGTTCCGTGCCCGATGGGGAGACCACCCGAGTCCTAGTGGGGGCGTTCCTGCACGGTCCGCGCCTCAGTTCGGCACATCCCTCACACGCCTCGTGCCCCATGGGGCCCACCTGCGGCCTCAATGGAGGTGCGACCATGAAGACTTGAGCTCCATCCCCGCGCCCATTTCCGCATACCCCTCGCGCGACTCGCGCCCAGCAGGCCGCTCCAGTCCTCCAGCGGCCCGGCACTTTGCGAGGAGACGGCCCCCAGGCCTCGACACGTTCCCTGGGGCTGGCTCTGCATCCTAAGCTGCGGGTCTCGGACAGCCCTGGTGCGAAAAACATCGGGCCCCAATGGGCCCGCAGTGGTGAACAGTCCTCGGCCGTCTCGACGAGTTCGAGACGCCAGAGGCCTGAGTCAACCCCATGCGTACAGCAGGATCGTGCCGTGACGACTTTCGCGTTGGCGTCGAACACCGCGCTGGATCGTTCAAGCTTGAACGATCGCGCCTTTCCGACAACGAGAACCGTTGAATGTCGGCCGATTCTGGGCTGGCGGCATTCAACCTTGAACGCCAGCGCCAGGGTCGCCGTCGCGTCGACACGACGGCCCAAGAGCGGTGCATACGCCCTCCTGGCTGAGCTGGAGAAGAGCATGCACCGCTACTGTGCCCCGGACGGGCCTGGCCGGGATCCGTGGACATGTATAGACCTCGTCGCCCGAGAAGGGGGGGTCTCTGTGACCCACCACCCTCGGAGGAGGGAGGAGGAAGCAGGGAGTGAGGAGCAGGAGGAGGAGGAAGGAAGGATGGAAGGAAAGCAGGAGGAGGAAGGAGGAATGCAGTGGAATGGAACGGAAGAGCAAACAGTCACGAAGCGGGGGTCCCCGTGATCCCGTGGGGTGGCGCCCCGACCACGGCTCTGGCCCGCCCTATTGGGGTAGAGCTTCCTCATGATGCGACCGAACGTGGGGTCGGCGTCGACGGGCGGGCCGTTGATGGACCGCACGGGCCTGGGGACGGAGCGGAGAGGGGGAGAGGGCTCGCAAGCTTCTCTGATGAAGGCAACTCGCCTGGGCACCGTGTAGAGTCGCCAGTTCTGAGGAGGACTCTGGCGATAGCGCGATTCTTGATCAAGCTGCAAGGACGTCTGGATAGAGAGCGCGATCACGAGGGTGCGAGAGCCGAGAGCCACGATCTTCCACTGGAAAAACAGTAGGCACCGGTGGGGGGGTCGACAATAACTTATCTCCAGGAACGAGAGTTCAACAATAACCTCGTCATCATCATCATCATCACCACCACCATCATCATCACCACCACCACCACCATCATCATCATCATCATCATCATCATCATCATCATCATCATCGTCGTCGTGTGGTCGTCGTCGTCATCGTCATCATCCTACAGCAGCAGAAGCAGCAGCATCGTCCTACTCCGTCTTCGCACGCCTCTCCATCCTCCATACTCCCCTTACTCTGCCTATTCACCATCATCCTCTTACTCCTTATCCTCCTCCTCCTCCATCTCCTCTTCTTCCACCCTCTCGGACTTCGACCCTTTCTCCCCCCTCTGTCTTCGTTGCCCCTCATCCTCCTTCCTCCTCCTTCACCTCCTCCACCTCCTCCTCCTCCTCCTCCTCCTCCTCCTCCTCCTCCTCCTCCTCCTCCTCCTCCTCCTCCTCCTCCTCCTCCTCCTCCTCCTCCTCCTCCTCCTCCTCCTCCTCCTCCTACTCCTCACCATCATCATCATCATCTTCTTACTCATCCCCCCTCCTCTTTGTCCTTACAACGAAGCCACTCGCGGGTTTGGCGCCACCACTGGCATACAGGGCAGGGGGACGCCATGAGCCAGATGCAGTCGAGGGCCCACACCACCTGTACAGAGACAGGCCACGAAAGGCTCAACCCACAGCGCGGCTACGCATACCGCCACCTACCCTGCGCCCGTTTCCCCCTTTTCGGGCCTCCTGGGAGGCCCTCGTCGCCACCACTGGGCTCGCCTCGAAATCCTGGTCAGGACTTTTTGGTTTCCCCCCAACGATAAGCCTCCATCTTCCCTCTCCACACCATGGCCGGCGGCTGGCCTGCCATACTTGTGGTGGCAATCCTCCTGCCCGCAGATTGGCTGCAAGACGCTGTGCACGATGACGTCGCCGACCTCAGTGTCCTCGAGCCCAGGGAAGATGCCGAATCGGACATCCGTCCTATTCCCCACGTGCCGCTCGAACCCCTTGACGCGGTTGCCGTTGAAGCGGATCACACGCTCGTGGCCGTCGATATCCCTCCCCAACTCGTGGAACAGAAGGCCGCCCGAGTGGCTCACCTTCACGCTGGGAATCTGTCCATATCCAGCGACCTCACCCCGAGGATCTCGAGTGGCACTGGAGACATAGATGCCTTCCCGCCCCTTGAGAGCGGGAGATGCTCATGTCCCGTACCCTTCGCTCTGCGAGGTCCTCCCCAAAGATCCGATGTCTTGATTATGTTCGATACAGGATCCCCGAAATCTCGACCGTTCCCCCCAGCGCTGGCCCTTCATGCCGAAACGCTTCCGGACCGCCCGCTGGAGCTGGCCCGACTGGGCCTCCCTCGAGGCCGCCGAGAACTGCGAGAAGAGCCTCCACCATGACTTGTCTCGAAACGCAGGATATGATGGGCCTGTTTTCCACCACCACCACCACCACCACCATTAGTTAGTTAGAGAGGGGGAGGAGGAGGAGGAGGAGGAGGAGGAGGAGGAGGAGAAGGAGGAGTGCACGAGGCCAAGGAAGGCAAGGAATTAGGCCGACCCGACCCTAATTCGATACCTGCGAGCTCCCCAGGTCCTACCCAAGCAGTGTGCTCAGGCGAAGATCCCGCCTCTTGAGCTGCTTTAACCGAGCGCGCATCCTGCCCTGAAGCCGCAGGAGTCCCCCTCGGAGGCGACAGGTTGGGTGCATACCGCAGGTCGTGATAGGACTGAAAGATGAGACCAAGGAAAATCGCACAAGCAGTTAGCTCGAGCTGAGAAGAGGCGGCCCAGGGGAAGATGGAGGCACGCTGCAGCCCCGAGAGCGAGGAAAAGAAAACAGGCAGATGCAGGACGGCACTGGCACTAGACTTAACAACAGGGCACTCAAGATAGCGAAGGATGTTGTCGGCCCCGGGCGCCAAACAGAAAACGCAGCCACAGGTGGGCCCGCGGAACCTGGAAGAACAGCACCAGCCGTTCGAGAACGTTTTCAAAACAGAGACAATAACGCACGAGGGAACCAGCTTTTCTAATCTACGGAGCGCCATCAGGGCTAGGTCAAGATCACAACACCTCGCGGAGACTCCCAACTTCTTCATCCGATACAAGAGCGGGACACGATATCCTTCTGGGGCAAGATGATAGAGCCATTTCGTCGTAGCAGCTTGGATCCTCGGAGTTCCAGGGACGGGTACTTTGGGCACGGCACATACTTGATCATAGTTAGAGATAAGTGCGTGCATGGATGACTGCAACCATAGGGGGTCCCTGTCACATAGAATTGTGCACTCGTCGCTGGCGGCCATCGCCTGGATCCGCGTCTTCGCGCAATAAAAACCCATCGAATTGCAAGCGAAACGGTAGAGAGTGGCCCTCGAAACCAGATCCAGCCTTCTCATTTGGCACGGGAGCCCCAGCGCCGTTAAATTCTCGAGCATGGCAGGGCTAAGAGCGCTCCGCGGGCCGCACACCAACGCTTGTCCAGCTGCACGGACCGCTTCATGCACCGACTTGGGAGGTGAGAAGAATTGAGATACGCACGACAAACAGCTGAAACCATTCTGATTGAAAAGTGCGATGCTTTTCACCAGACCCAACCCAAGAGATTCAATAACAATAGCTTGCCCAAGACATTTCCTGGCGGGAGCATCCCAAGAACGAACAGACCCACCACGCCCAAGAAAGATACCCAGGTACTTAGCCGCATGCTGCACCTTGAAGGAAGGGGGCAAACCGGCAACGTCGAGGAGGTGACGATATTCATGTTCAGGGAGGACGGCGAGAGGGACAATGATAGATTTCGCGACGTTGAGCTCGAGCCCAGCAGCCTGGGCAGCACAATCAAATACAGGGGGCGCCAGGGCTAGAGCTCGATACACGTCCTGTGAGACGAGCCCCACATCGTCAGCACAGGCACCCAGCGCCGAAGGCACACGCAGAAGGCGCTGCTCAAGCATCCTTAAGATTGGATCGATGCACAGCACGAAGAGCGAGGAGGAGAGCGGGCACCCCTGCTTGATCCCACGTTTGACCCACCATCCAGAGTCTTGCACCCCACAGAAGGATACCGAAACCCATACATGCTGATAAATAGCGGCAACCGCCCTGCGGATTTTCCTGGGGAACTTCATGGTTTTGAGGACGAACATAATCATGGAGTGGAGAAGAGTAGGAAAGGCAGCCTTAATATCAAACGTAACGTAACCCGTCGCTTGAAGTCCGCCCTGAACAAACCATTCTACAGCCCGAGATTCCAGAGCTACAATGTTGTTGGTGAAATTGCGCCCAGGGGTGAAACCACGCTGGAAGTCGATACAACACTCCTGGAGGACACGAACCATAGGTTTATTAATAGCACGGCTGATCAGCTTGTTATCCGAATTTCCAAGAGTTATAGGCCTGGTCTGCTCAGGTGGACGGAAGACTGCGTCCGCGGCATCGCTGGGGGCATCCCCCTTGGGTAAGAAAACAGCGATGCCATGATTAAATTCATCGGGAAGTCGCCCATGAGCGAGAAGTTCCTGGTAAACTTCAAAGAGAGGTTCCATCGTGCAGGCACCGCCTCGAAACCAAGCACTGTACGGAATTCCGTCGGGCCCAGGACACGAGTCACGAGCATACTGAGCATGCTGACAGAATTCATCGAACTCAAGTTCCCAGAACATGAGAGGGGGCACCTGCGCGATGAAGGGTATGAGTTCTTGCCGTCTGGCATCTTCACCTTCGACGAAAGCATGCACTTGCCCCCAATGCGCCGCCAGCAACTTAGCCGCTGCGCTAGGCTCAGAAACCTGGAGACCCGTCGGGTCGGAAATAGCAGAGAGCGAGATCCTCCTCCTCCTTCGGCCCCAGGCACAGAGATAGGACGTGAGACGGTTTCGAACAGCATGCTTTTGATCCACAGGACGGTCGGATTCCTCATTCTCCTGAATCTGCCCCTGGATCTGCTAAGCCTTGAGCTCGCTTAGAAACCTGTGGAATCCATGAAAAAAACAATCAAAATTCCAGATTCCCAACATATGAACTGCTGCAGGTCGTTGAAGGCACCAAGAGCCTTCCGAAGAAAAAAAGCAACTGCCCGCGCCGAAGACTACGGAGAGCCGCCAGAGCCCAATGCACCTTCTCTTCCACAGATAGCGGACCACCAGAGCGAGAGAATTCAATAACACGTTCCGCAGCCGCCTTGATAATTGCTTTTGTCTCAGGAGGAGGAGGAGAAGGAGGAGGAGGATGAGGAGCAGGAGGAGGAGGAAGATTTTTCCTCGGGGGCCCACGAGGCAGAACAGAGCATTACCAGCCAGCGCCGCACGGCAGTCTGACGGGCGTGGCAACGCAGGAGATGAGCGTCTCTCCCCTAGCCACTTACGACTTAACCCGCGGGACTGCCGCGGGTCGGAGGCCGAGGCAGCACTCCATGCTCCTCCAAAGCCCGAGCTGCATTCTCCTCCCGCTCTCTTACTCGGGCCGCCAATGCCTCCAGCGAAGGCAGTAAACGCACACCCGAGGGAGCGGAGGGGCTACCAGTCGTGGCTGCAGGTAGCAGCACATACTTGACAGAGGCGCGACACGCGACGCCAGAACCTGCAGCTACCTTCTCCTCCGATCTGTAGTGAGGATGGAGGCCTTGCCGTATTCGGTGGAGAGCTCCCCTGCCACTCGGTCCAGGCTTTCCTTTTGCACCGCTCGCCGAGAAGAAAACAACGCTGGCTGGTGAAAGCTCCACACTTGAAGCAAAACACCAGCATCTCACACTCGGCAGTCTGGCGCAGAAAAGAGCACAGGAGGTGGCCCCGTTCGCTCTCAGCGCCTTGCAGGCGACGCAGGGCCGCGGGGAGTCCATTGCACCCGAGCATAGGCCTCTCGTCGCCATAGGACACCTTAAAGCACTTACTGCATCGAGCCACGCTTTCCTGCTCGCTCTCATCGCCAGGGTCGAGGATGCATTCGTGCCAGCTCAGGGCACGCGGGGGAGGCATCCTGCGGCCCGTCTTTTCCCGCCGAAACTCGCGCTTGGGAAAACAGGAAAGTACTGCTGCAAACATTGCCACGAGCTTGCGCAGCATGACAAATTCTTGATCCAGCCTCTCCAGCTCGTCTGGGGCTAGGCTGGGGTGAAAACTCCGCGCATGCTTTGCCAACCTGTCCGCGTCGGCATTGCCCAGGGCAATCTTCCGCTCATGCGGTGGGAGTGCTGCGATCACCCCTGCAGAGCGATGCGCGGCCACATGTGAAACAGAGATTATGCTGGCCTGGCCATCTTCCGCCAGGGCCCTTCGTCGGATGCCCGCAAAGGTCTGATTGGGGTCCAACTGCGCAGCAGGGTTCGAAGAGGCCAGACGCACCGCCCCCAAACAGTCACTGTGCACATCACTTCGCCCAGTGGCCAGGCAGCTAAGAGTAGCAATCCCCAGATTTTCTCCAGACTGGGTTGTCTGGGGAAGACCTGGCCACACAGTGCCGACAGTACGAGCTCTCACTATGTAGTCCGTGCCTGGGGCTAGGAAAACAGCAGCATAGGTGGCACGGTTGAGCTCTCGAAACACTCCAGTGGTGGCCGACCCATCCACGACAATCTCCGTGTCAAGGGTCAGTCTACAAAACTCATCGATCGTTAATGGCTCTCCCTCAGGACCCTGGAGGACGGGGTCGAGGTCCAAACAAGGAGGAGGGGGGGTGGGCTGAGTCATTATCAACCGAGACAAGAAAAGCAGTCTATCGGGCGCGGCCATCCTCGCCTCGGCGATTTCTTCGTCAGACAGGTGCTCTCGCCTAGCCGCTCGAGGCTCGGGGCTGTCACAGAAAAACTGTCTGTGGACCAGGGAGTCAGGCTGACGACAAAGCGGGCACAAACCGTCGTGAACATACCCCGAGGATCTCAGCCTATCTCCCGTCCAACAGGCCCCAGAGAAAACAGCACTCAGCCAGTATTTTTCACGAGGGGAGGTGCGCTTGGACCGCATCATTCTTTGGAGCGGGTCCGAAGCAACTCTGTCGGCACTGAACTCTGGCAAGGCCTGCGCCATACGACGCTCATGTGATCTCTGAACTCCATCCTGCAGTAGCTTATTGACCAGGGCAGGTGCCGTGTAGAGAAGATCGATAACGTATCCTCGGTCGTCGTGCCACACTGTGAAACGAGGACCCCTCCCCCTCCAACTTATGGTGATGGTGGTGGAAAACATGCCCATCAGGATCAACGGGTCGGGGGCCCAACCCCTGGCACGCCCAAAACGGGCAAGGTGATAACTGGCACCATGCCCAACAGCAAACGTTGTCCAAAACCGGCAGCGGCCCATGCTGGGCAGGCGACTTTTTGTCGCCAACGGACAACGTCCGCGGCGACACCGACGGCAAGCCCTACTCAGAATGGAAAAGGCCTGGTGCCAGTCTTCCCCCACCCAGTCTTTCCGTACCCAGAGCCCAGATCGGCTGACATGGACACATCTCCAGCGCGGTCCGACGTCCTGAAACAATTAGAACATCGTGAAGAACCGCGACTGGAGCCACAGAACCAATCTTTCTGCCGCATCTGTCGAGCGGGGACCAGGGCTCGAAAACGGGCGAAAACCCTGGGCGTTCAAAGATTGCAACGCCCAGGATCTCGGAGGGATGGGCACGCCCCCAAATCGGTGGATATGGACACATCTCTGGCGCGGATCACCACCGCGCAGGTCTTGGCCAGCGGCAGCGGCGGGTCCGTCTGGAAGCGGTCGCCGGCCGCCTATCGCCATCGCATGGACGTTCATTCCACGTGCATGTTTCGGCTTCGCACGCTTAGGTTTTCTTTCGCGCAAGAAGATCCTAGATGCTCCTCGATGGTCCTCGCCAAGAAATATGCACACGTCCGAGCAGTGCCAAGGGCCTGTTTCAAGTGGCAGAAGATGGCCAGCTGCGGCTTGGACAGGCCAGACGCCACGCCGCTGGCACCGCCCGCGGCGGCGCTAGCCCGGCTCGCGGGGGCGGGGTCCCACCTGGGGGCAACGAGATCTACACAGTCAAGCTGCTGCAATAGGGAACGCTAAGTAAGGAACGAAGCCTTTTCTTGGCACAGAATAGCCTGGGTACACGAGAAGGGCTACAGGAATAACCACGGAATGGCCGAGGAACCGCAAGCCCCTTCCGAACCCAGAGCGGTCCGTATTTCAGCGTCTTGACTGCACATATCCAGACGTCCAACGCCTAAAAAAAACGGAACTCGGGGTTTCCGTCTTCTCCGGCCTCTGGCAGAGACGGGGCCGTCCAAAAACGACACACGACCACAGACTCGCCCTGGAGAAACGGACGGGAAGCGGCGATCCCGAGGGAGAAGGAGAAGGAGACGGCTCGGAGGTCCCCCAGCCTTCTGGCAAGTTTTCTACGCCTTCTCCGAAGACACAAAAAACTTCTCAGAAGGTCCGAGGCCTTCTGAGAAGTCCCGCCGCCTTCTGAGAAGACCATTTCCTTCTCACTTCCCCCCTCGCTCGCCGCCGATTGATACAGTCAACCCGTACAATACAGACGCACGATAAGGGTGCAAGGGCATTGGAAGGCCATGTCGGCACTCTGCGCACGGGGTGCGGCCAGCGAAATCTTCTTCACTCTCGTATCACTCAGATACTAATACTCAGACCACTCACACCAATCACGGGGTCCATCACAGGCCCACTCTTCTTCACGGGGTCCATCACAGGCTCACTCTTCCTCACGCGGACTCAGCCACATCACTTCCTCACTCAAACTCACTCAGACTCAGACTCACTCAGATTCACTCAGACCCAATCGGAGAATCAGCCTCAGACGCACTCACACTCATGCACAGTCAAACTATCTCACTCCTACACACTGTTCCTCATTTACACTCACTCAGACTTTTCTGCTGGTGGTCCACTGCTCACCACGACCTTGCAGGCGTGGCAATGGGGCACCCAGGGGAGAGCCGCCAGGGGTGAGGACACTCCAAGGTTATCGCCTAGGTTGTGGGGATGTCTCCAACGGTTTGCCTGTTTCTGCCCCCCAGACTTTTCTCTCTCGGTGGTCCAATGCTCAACGCTAAATAACAGGCGTGGCAATGACGCACCCTGAGGGCAAGCCGCCACGGGTGAGTGCACTCTAGGAATCGCGCCCAGATTGCAGGAATGTCTCAAGCGGTTTGCCTGTTTCTGCCCCCCCAGACGTTTCTCTGTTGGTGGTCCAATGCTCACCGCGACATAGCAGGCGCGGCAATTGGGCACCCCAAGGGGCAGCCGCCAGGGGTGAGGACGCTCCAAAAGTCCCGTCCAGTTTGTGGGGATGTCTCAAACGGTTGCCCGGTTCTGCCCACCAGACATTTCTCGATTGGCGGTCCACTGCTCACCGCGATTTTGCAGGAATGGCACTTGGGCACCCCGGAGGGGAGCCGCCAGAGGTGAGGACACTCCAGGAATCGCGCCCGGATTGCGGTGCTGGTTCAAGCGGTTTGCCTGTTTCTGCCCCCCAAACTCTTCTTTGTTGGCGGTCCAATCCTCACCGCCCCATAGCAGGCGTGCACTTGGGCACCCAAAGGGGGAGCCGCCAAGGGTGAGGGCACTCCAAGATTTGCGCCCAGTTTGTGGGGATGTCTGCAGCGGATTGCGTGTTTCTGGCTCCCAGACATCCTTTTATTGCGACACATCACGATACAACAGGCGTGGCAGTGACGCACCCTAACGGGGAGCCGCCACGGGTGAATGCACTCCAGGAACCGCGCCTAGATTCCGGGGATGTCTCAACCGGTTTGCCTGTTTCTGCCCCCCCAGACGTTTCTGTTATGGTGGTCCAATGCTCACCGCGATATAGCAGGCGTGGACCCTGGGCATCGAATACGGAAGCCGCATGTCTCAAACGTTTGCGCGCTTCTGCCCCCTAGACTTCCCTCCTTGGTGGTCCACTGATCACCGCGACGTAGCATGCGCGGCACTTAGGCACCCCAAGGGGGAGCCCCCAGGGGAGAGGACGCTCCAAAAGTCGTGCAAAGGTTGCGGGAATGTCTCAAGCGGATTGCTTGATTTTACCCCCCATGCGTTTCTTTTTTCGCGGCCAAATGCTCCCCTTGAAAAATTGGCGCGGCACTTGGGCACCCCAGGGGGGAGCCGCCATGGGTGAGGACACTCCAGGAGTCGCACCCTGATTGTAAGGATGTCTCAAGCGGGTTGCCAGTTTCTGTCTGCATCTCTTATAACTTGTGTTCGTCCCACTCACTCACTCACTCACTCACCCACTCACTCACTCACTCACTCACTGACTCACCTCCTTCCCCTTTTTTCCCCACTCAGACGCACTCATTCGCACCCGAACGCACTCATCAGCACCTTGTCCTCAGTCAGACCCACTCATTCCATTCAGACTCACCCATACCCCTATCAAGTCAAACTCAAACTCGCTCATCCGTACTCGCCCATACTCAGACCCGACCAAACTCAAACTCACGCAAACCCAGGACCAACTCACACTCAGACCCACTCACTCAGAGCCGCCCACTCTCAGACTAACTCTTTATCGGACTCCCTCGCACCCAGGCTCACTCATACTCAAACTCACTTACACCCAAATTCACTCACACTCAGACCCATTCGCACGTAGACTCGGTCGCACCCAAGCCCACCCATACTCAGACCCACTCGTACTCAAACAGATTAGATCCCGATTCGCTTACACTTGGGCTCACGCATAGCCGGATCCACTCACACTCCGACTTGCTCACTCTCAGATCACTCACGTTCAGACCCACCCACAAGAATGCCCACACAAATGGCATCCGCGATATAGCCAGCGTGGCACTTGGACACCCCCAATGCCAGCAGGCGCCGCCGCCTCGTCGCCGCCCGCCATCTGGGCCAATGTGGCAGTCTGGCTGCTATATTGTACCCGTCGCCACCCCAGCGCCACCTCATCGCCGCCCCTCGTTTGGACCACGGCGGTATCGACCCCCAACACACAATTTTCAAACTTTCCATCAAATTCGAGCACATTGGCCGTTCGCGCGCGCATGTCGAAATCATTCGGATGACCTTGCGCGCGTGCTGCGGGGGCACGATGCCTGTCGAATCATACAAAACGGGCCACTCGCGCCCGTCGGCCGCGCGCGCATGCCGAAATCCTTCCAAAACCTTCACCACCGACGCGAGGACACCATAATCGTTATCGCCGTGATCATCATCGGCGCCGTCATTACTTTTGCCTTCGTCATTGTCATCACCGCCACCATCATATTTGCAATAATCATCGCGTCTGCCATTGTCGATGTCGCCATGATACCGAACCCGCCCAAGTCACCGATTCGCACCGAAGTGCCCACGCGTCAGCGCGGCCTGTGGAAAACGCTGGAAAATCCCCAACGGCGATCGTCACCGCGGCCGCGTCGGCAGCGCCAAACGAGCTGACCGCTCTGCGGGCGAGCCTGCGCGCGCTAGCGCGGCAGCGGCGATGCGCCAGCCAGCGCCAGGCAGGCATCACAATTGCCGCCTCATGGGTTTTGCAAACCAAGTCGCGGGTGGGCAGGGGGGCGATTGCGCGAGCACTGGAGGCGACAACTCCCCGCGACCAAATATAACTGCGTTTCTTTTAAAAAATATGGACTCTACCCCCCCCCCCCCGGGATCATCACATCCCCGTTTTTCTCAATGCAACTTACATATGATTCCGCCCCCTCGTCCACCCTAAATGTGAATTTTACATCATCGAAAGGGGGCCCGTGTCGGCCCACCCCCCTGCCGTCCTCTGGAAGAAAATACGCGCGCGCATTCGCTGCTCAAGAACCATAAATTTTCAAGATCCACTTCCACAAAGGGGGGAGGAAAGCAAAAAAAACAACAACAACAAAAAAAATGCAAACGCGCGCGCCGTTGCACGCGCATCCTTAAAAAACCTCCGGCTGCGTGGGGAATTCACAATCGAGTGTCAACAAAAAAACATATCGGAACACAGGGTTTCGCAACACGGGTTTTCAAACAACAAACAAAGATGCGCGTCGCGATGTTGCGTATTCTTTCGCAAACCATACGTATTTCAATATGTTCCAAGAATGTTACCAAACTGGTTTTGCGCGCGCGCCCGTCGAAGTCGTTCGAGCCCCTTTGCAGGCGCGCCGCCACGCGAATATTTTGCAACAAATGGGGCGACGTGCGCGCGCGCACGTCGTCGCGCGCGCATGCCGAAATCCGTCAAAAACTCTCGTTGTCACAACGATGTCAACACCGAATGTCCAAAACACATGCCAAAAAAAACATGGTTTCGCAACATGCGAACTCTGAGGAAAACCCTTGTTTTTTCAACATTGTCATGGAATTCTGCCAAAAGGGCCTGTCGCACCGCATGCCGACATCACTCGCACGCCCGGCACGATCCGCATCAATTAACTCAACGCGAGCCACTCTCGCGCGTCGGCCGCGCGCGCATGTCAAACTCTTTCCAAAACCCTCATCACCGACGCGAGGGCGCCGTCATCGTCGCCGGCGCGATCAGCATTAGCGCCCGCACTGGCCGCGATTTCGTCGATGTCGACATAGTCACCAGCATCGCTACTATCATCATCGCGTCTACCGTCGTCGACGTTGCCATGATACTGCGCCCGCCGAAGTCGCCGCCTCGCAGTGAAGTGCCCGCTCGGATGCGCCCAGCGGTCAGCGCCACCGCGGCCACGCCGGTCGCGCCGAACAAGCTGGCCGCCGCGCGCGCTCGGGCTGGCGCGGCCGCAGGGATGCACCAGCCAACGCCGAGCATGCATCGCGCTCGCCACCGCATGGGCTGTCAGACCAAGTTGCGGGCGGGTGGGCGGGACGTTTGCAAAAACATGGTATGTGCCAACCCGCTTGTTAAAATGAATTCTCCTTTCTAAAAAGAAAATAGACTCTACCCACCCCCTGGAATTATCGCCCCCCTTTCGGGTATGTAAATCGCTTATGATTCTGATCACATGCCCATCCTAAATATGAAATCCCAATGTCCCAAGCCAACCGGTATCCCCCCCCTGAGGTTC